TTAATTTCAATATTACAATCCCTTTATACCAATAGCCGAAGCCGAGTCCAAGCTTACGGCACTTTTTCGCCCTAGTTCACCGCGGAAAGCGGTGTTCTTCAAGGTTGCCCTCTCCTTTTCTATTTAACTTTATTACAGATCTGCTTATGGAAACGGCCCTATCCTGGTGTGGGGATAGTGGCGTTGATTTGCTCCCAGATGACAGATTGCTCGATCCAGAGTATGCAGACGACATTGTGCTGCTAAGTGGAGATCCAGGTAAATTGGAAGCTTGAATGCCAGCGTAGCTATGATCGGTATGCGTTTTGCACCTTCAAAGTGTAAAATGTTGCTACAAGACTGGGTTGATCCAGCACTAACCTCACTCTAGCTGGGGAAGTAATAGAGCAAGTGGATAACTTTTTTTATTTTGGTAGCTGCATCTCACCCGATGGACGCATCACGGATGAAGTGTCTGCTCGCATACAAAAGGCTCGGTTGGCATTTGCTAACATGAAACATCTGTGGCGCCGTCGCGACATCCGGCTGTCTGTGAAGGGTCGAGTATATGCTGCAGTTCTGCTATATGGATCAGAAACTTGGCCACTAAGGAAACAGGATAAAGAAAAACTGTCGGTGTTTGAACTCTATTGTCTACGCAGCAGTACATGAATCTGATGAGGCAGTCGGACAAGCAAAGCTGAGGTTAGGCGCAGAGTTTTAGGTAACTGCGGTCGCCTACTGGAGTAAGTGGTCGACCTCCATGGACTACGTTGGCTGGGGCGTGTTACGTATGTCACCAAATAGGTTGCCACGGCGAGCGATGTTTGCCGAGGCAGGTCGTGGGTGGAATAAAGCCAAAGCTGGTCAAGCTAAGACCTGGCATGAGGGTATGAAAACCCTAACCAGGAGTCTGGTTTACATAGGCTCCTTGGATGGGGAACTCGGGATGGTCGTAACCGATGGTTAGAGACACTGAGTGATGTGACTGATTGTCGATCCTACCTTCAACCTTTACTGTCCTTCTCCTAATGTTCATCCAAATGGACAGTCGAGAGATAGAAACCAAAACCGGCGCACGATAATGCATAGTTAATGGTTGCACAAGCCAAAACTGATCGTTGTCAATTTATTTCGACACCGAATAAGCAACGCATGAAGATTTGCATACTGCATGGATGAACACTGAATTGTCGGAATATACTTGTTTCCCTAAAAAATTACACATCTTCTAAGAGGGAAACTGTTAGCATAGAAAATAAAGTAAACCTGAGTTGAAACTCCGAGGAACATAACTTTTAGATTACATGATTAGCAATACCCCATACAAGGTCGATCTCGGAATCCTAAAAACAAAATAACCATATGCTAATCATGTATTGATCAATCAGGAGAATCACAGAGATTTTCCCAATCTTTTCTTACGAGTTCGATTATCAAACTGGCTTCCAGTGAACGGTAAACGAAATCATGATATTACAGTCATATACCATTAGTTGTGTAGACCAGACACAAGAATAAATGTAAGATTTCATGATGAATTTCGGCGTATACAGAGCGAAGAGCATGTGAACTGAAAAGCTCGGCCGCACGGTACGGCCGTTCCATCATTCATAGACCCCACTACGGGGAACATCTCGACCAAAAGAAATTAAATGAGACTAATACAGCCGAAGTGTATGTTAGTTCCGAGAACTGTTGTGATTGGGAAGATTAATTGGTTGGACTCTTGGCGGTGAATAATGGTCTTCAGGGAAAAGCGAATGTAGGCAAACACGATGAAGGAACAAAAGGATCGGTAGGCAGGGAAGAAAAACAATAACCACATCTGACCGAGGTGCCGCCGAACATTGCAATAACATTTGTTTTCACAGTTGAGTACGTTTTGTTTGGTTGAAACGGAAAAAAATCAATAAACCAACACAGTAAACCTCATTCACTAGACAAAGAAAGAAAAATTATTCAAAAAGTTTAACTACGTAAAGAAAACAAGAATAGGGATGCTGCTTCTTCAAGATAGGGGGAGAAGAGGATTACAAAATATGGAAAAAGCGCAGCTATTTAACGTCAAAATTCTAACGACAAAAGAAACAGAAAATTCAGCGCTTCCTGCTCACTGAAAATGAGAATCAGTCTACAGTTCGTCCCCCTAGAACCTGAATACTTTCGTTAACAAAAATTAACATTTCACTGGTGTTATTCAGTTCCAAACGAAAATCGACGTCAATGGTTTACTGGTCGCATGAACAGTTCGTACGACTTATACGACATAGGTGATTGGCGAACGATTCGGTCGCACGAATCGGATGAGTCAACAATTCGTGCCCACACATTGTGAACAAGATTGATCTGTAATTGGCTTGCGAAACAGACAAGGGACCAAGTTCATTGCGAATCAGGGTATCACAAGCCAACGGGACTTTTATAACGGTTATGAATGCAAAGAATAAACTCATAGGTTAGCTAACCTCGAGGAAAATCGTAAATTCGTGGTTTTAATTTCCAGCGCAACGAACCCTAATTTACGGTAAACTAAAACCTTAAAACTACTTACATTGTCATCATATTAGTCGCTTGGGACAAAACAAGAATATGGATGGGGTTGGATCCCATTTAGATATGGGAATGTGTGAATGTAATCTAGGAATTTGGATTGCTTAAACGAAACGAGGTAAACTTGGGACAGATACATCGACGCACATGGTACCGAGCTGATCACCTAAACGGGTTTGCAAGTTAAATTTACATAAAAAAACTACAGAAGGAAGTAAAACTAAGACGAAATATTCACCCGAAATTAGATGCCAGAGATCGTTTGTAAAACACACCAATCATGGAGTTTTGGAGAGAGAGAACCTGAAAGAATATACACAAGTGTCAATGCACACGTATAAGCGGTGGCTATCAGCTTGCTCACCTGATTGATTGCTCTGGAAAAATTAACCGAGTCCAGAAACTTGATGCGTTCTAAGGTCTCCGAACAGGATTGAATAGTGTCCTCCAGCGGTTTGTTAAGATTCACCGTTTTGAACGAATCAATCAACTCTTGCAAGATTGACTGGATGGGCTAATTTAACACGAAATAAATCAAGGGGGGGGTGATCGAACAAGTCTAAAAGATGACATTTGAAAACTATGCGTAGTGATACAACTGTGCGAATGTGACTGTTTTGCAAAACCACTTCTGAAGTCCAAATAAGATGTATACTTTTAATCGGTCGGGTTAGTGCTCAGAGTTAGACTGACACAAAGCAAAGAAACGAAATGACGCAAACATGAGCTGGAAATGATTCAAGACCCTTAATGATTTTTTGCATCCATGCAGATCAACTCTGGTGGTTAAACTAAGGCGAGCTCAAAAGATATTTGAAGAGGGGCATCTCACTAGTCAAATGACTCAGTTGTTGAACGGTCCTCAGTTAGCAGTAAAGAATTAATGAGATGTAGCACAACTAGTAGACGAAGTGGTGAAACGATCTCGGCTCATTTATCCGGGAAATTAAAATTTAGAGTAAAATTTTGCTATCGAACATACTACGGCTGATGAGGCCGAACTTGAAGCCAAAACACACAAAAAGAATAATGGAATGACCATATTTTATGAACTCGATTTCCACCATATATGTGTGAGACTACTGGTTAAGTGAAATTGCTAAACAGAAATTCTGTAACCGCTAAAAAAACAAAGGAAAACATGTGAGCTGAAAACTGCGATGGCTCAACATACTGATGAGCTCTGAGTGAAACGTGAGTACAGTGATTCCCGCATACATGGTTTACAGGATGAACTGAGGACTGTGTCTGAAGATAAAGTCTGAAAGTTGGTTACTCTAACTCCATCAAGACAAAATCGAAACAAACCATCGAGTGATTCACAGCGAATAGTTACATTGTACATGTTTTACCCTTCGAAATCACAATTTTGAAAACTCTGACGACTGTGATTTATCTGTACGCAGGGCGCAAAACACGATCGTCAGTATGGGCAAATCTGAACAGTGCGTATTTTTTACCCGATGCAGTTGGTCAATGTAAGAATGCGCGTATTGAATTTCTATAGAATCACAGATGAGATGCACGGCGCAGTGTGCTGTTTGTGTGTGTGTGCATGGGAACGAACGGCAGGTGAGACGCATTTCGTTACACATCTGGACGTGCACGACCTCTAGTCATGTCAATGAAACGATTGTGATCATCCCTGTTTGCGTGCCGTCACCATAGAACAAAACCTTTTGTGCTCTCTGGCTCTCCGCTTCCCTTATACATACACTTGCAAACGAACGGATCTGCGTTTGTACAGAGAAAGAACATCAACAACAACATATGATCACCTTAGGTTAAAAGTTCACACCCTTATTCTGTTGCGTAGTAGTGTCCAATTGTATCAAACCAAACTAGGGTACTATTTGACCTCTAATAATTGGATAATCAAAAGCAAGTATGGGATCAGTAACAAGAACAAGGGGTAAAGGATCATCGAATTCGATCATAGAAAAGTCTAAGTTCTGTGGTGGAAGGATTCCAGCACATCAACTTTTAGACCGTGATATGACGGTTTGCATTACCCGGCACAAGGACAAGGGTTTCCAGGCTGAAATGTCCCGAAAAGTACAAATGGATCTTGAAATGCAATTCAGTAGGATATTTTGTGATCTACACCTGATCGGTACCATACAACAATTGCGGATAGAATGCCGTGACTGTTTGATATGAAATTGGTTGTTGAATAACGGTACAGTCATTGGTCACATAACTACCTAAGTAGGAAAAGCAATCCACCATAACTAACTCCTAGTCATTCAGTTTCAAAGCAGCATTAGGTGACACTCAGTCTTGCAGGCTCACTTTGTACTATGAAGGTGAACAGTACATACCGAACTTGAAAAAAGCATCTATCAAGTGAACTTTGCGCGTCCTCCATACATTCGAACAGTTAGACCATATCATCGGTGTACTCTAAATGGCTCAGCTTTTCTCCAGTTACACATTCACTATCTACATTTCGGAGACTACTCAGTGCGTTCTCCAGAATTTCATCCACGACGAAATTGAACAGGAATGGGGAAATGGAGCATCCTTGGCGAATGCCACTGCTGATGACGAGCTGCCGGCACAGTTCGTTATAAACCTTCACTCGTCCAGAGGTATGTGAGTACAGTGACCTGAGTAAGATAACGTACTTCTAGGTAATCCCTTTTCGCAGAAGGGAATCCATTGGAGCCTCGTGGTCAACTGAGTCGAGGAAAACTGCAACAGTTGGTCGACGATCGAACAACAGTTCGATTCTCAGATACGTTTGCCGCAGGCAAAACACTTGTTACGAAGACAACGAATTTGTTCTTGCGTTGATGTAAATATAGCATTCAACAACAAGCATACGAATGCTTAACTGTATTATTTCTCTTAAATGTTTATGAAAAGCGAAGGGATCGTGAAGTGGATTGTGCGATGAAGAGGGATCATTACTAAGTGGACCTACTTTGGCATTTACAACCACTGCATTTTCTTTCGGTTAGAGTCAATGTTTCTTAGGTTGAAACACTCTTTGCAACAGCACATTCAAGTTATCACAAAAATAAGTTGAATCACAAAAAAATACTCTAGTTTTACCTTACCTCATACAACGCTGGCCACATGAACTGGCCGCCACTGATGGCATCTACAAACGGCTCATTCTCACACCGAGTCAGAATGGCATCGGTCAATCGAGCTCGGGTTATATTGCGAACAAGTTCGGCCGTGGACAAATCAACTGTTGTGTATCGTTGTGCATTCTGCTCAGCGGCAAGTTCCTGATTCAGGCGAGCTTCACGGCGAACCTGTTCGATCATGTACTGTACACTTTCATGCAGGTAGTCGTCCAGTTTGCGAGGCCCATCCGGCACATGACCGGTTAAATACCGACACAACTCCGTTTGCAAAGGACCACCAGCCATAAAGAGAACCACGCAGACGAACATGAGTATGGTGGAGAACAGGAAGACGAAACCGACTCCGCTAGACCAAAATATATGGATTATAAAATACAGGGAAATTCGATTTTACTAAAAAGTGAACTGAAAGCAAAACTGGAATGCGATATGAAACGACTTAGAGAGAGTTTGCACTAAGTACAAATAGTTCAAAATGTTACTATCCTCCATTCACCTCGTCACAGACTGATCGCATTTGCTCCTTTCATTGCTAGTGCTTATCCCAGCAAAGTAAGGCACACGAAAAATCCGGGAAAAGACATCACATTTCTCCAGCCAGTGAACAAGTGAAAGTATCTGACCCCCGTAATAAACCGCAAGACTGAATTCCAAAACGCACATTTGAAGGAGATCGGTGATCACCGCAGTGAGCGATCATTACATCTAGCAGTACTGACCGAAATGTCAGATAAAAATCAGCTAACGGCGCCGATGGAGAGTGAAAGAGACACATATGAGTTGAGGTGCAAAAGTATAATCAGCTGTACGCTATTGGAAATTCCATATTCAAATAAAATAAGAGGACCAAAAAGTAGATCATATAGGACAAAATCCAACGCATCTGAAGTGTGGATGCGTTAGAACAGTCAGTATACTTGTGCATAGAATTCTCATAACGACAATATATTCGAGGAACTAATTGAATTCTACCAGCGCGAATGCGTAATTTTACTTGTACCTACCAATAAGAGCATAGAACGGAAACAACTAATTGTTTTTAATTGATTTAACTATGTGAACAGTATTTAAATTCTTTTAATGAAAGTGTCCTGAAGAGGAGAACGAGCGAAGTCGCGAAGCACAATCAGAATACCAGGAACTTACGCAAGGAGAAGATTAGCTCCGACTCCACGATTACAAACACCGGCTTCTTCGTATGGTCGATGTCCGCAAGTACCGAAGCATAGACCCAGATAGAACAACAGGAATATGAGGACCGGGATGCACAACAAGGCGATGCCGCCGTAGAACTGAAACTCGACAATTCTGAAATGAGATTACGATTTGAATGGAAGACATAGACAACCATTGGTTAGGCTTAGATGTGCATTCAGGTGACAAAAATCGAGGTCAATTATACTAACTCAGGTTTGCTGAGNTTTGCTGAGTCACTTTTAGCACAACCAGAACTGACATTGTACGTGTAAAAATACCCTTGGTTGATTTTCTCTTAATACGGATTCACGTGGTGTCGGAAAACCGAGCTTCAACACCATAACTGTTGTGTTGCTACCGCATGTGAGTGATATGGACTTCACAAGACCCTCAAATTCTAACCAATATCTGGAGGAAAAAATTAATCCAACTGATTGAAACTTACACCAGTATTCTCAACTTTATGCAATAAAGCATTGTATACGATGATTGAGTCTTATCGATCCAGAGAATAACCGCGGGGGATCGCAAAGGATGTTTTTATTCTTATTTCGATTATTATCATTCTCGATTAGGGAAACAGGAACGACGGCAGTCGAATACATTTGGAACTTTGCATACAAGCAGTCTGGCAAACAAGAGATATCTCAGCGGAACTGAATGAATATAATTTTTTTATGACACCTTAGTGTGATGAACGGCAGACGGGAGAAGCCCCAAAGTCACGAGGACCTGCTGTTCAGTGATGGAAAGCGGCTCCCTAAGTCCCGGGACTTGGAGTGTGGTATCGAACCGGACGACAGCAGAGTTGCCTACCACCAAAGTTTGGTGGTGATGGCGGGGCTCGAAACTCAGACCATAGGGTCCAAGGCATTTCGGTGACAGAGACTAAACCACTGCGCTGCTACTAGTTGAAACAGTTGCTGCAGTATTTTAAAATTGAAGAGTGGATAACGCGAAAGAAACGTAACAAGATATCGGCCAAACGAATGCTGATTACGGAGGGTAATCTCATCAACAGGATTATAACATGTGGTAAAGCTGAGCTCAAAGTTTATCATTATTAAATTCCATTTCAGGGTAGTCATTATTTGGGGATGAGTGAAACCAAATAGAGTATGCAAAACAGCTTTACATTTAATGAGAAAAGAAAACCTATAAGAATCATTAAAATCATCCAACGAGGGCGATTAGATCCATGTTACCCGAGGACACTCGCATAGTGGGAGGAGTCCAATTCGCGGCCATGCAAATAAGGACGATACCCTGATGCATGCTCACTCTTTGTTTGTGTGACTCTCAACCGCACCAACGCTTCACTTGCCTCATTAGCCATTGGCCTTATACTTGCGTTCAGTCGTTCGGTTTACTATCATCGGGCTCCGCATTCGGTCGACCAATGAGGACAAACATTTAATGGGAAAGAAATAAAAAGCTGGAAGCAGTCTGAAGAAGAGGATATACGGGAAACAAGTTAACTAAATTTGAGGAGACGGTACCTTACGTGGACGAGAGATTTAATCGCTAAGAAAAAACTCTAACTCACTGGATGAATATTTGACTGCTTTGCACATCCTGGTGTATCTCCAATCGTTCTCGGACGAGAGCCAGTCCACGTTTGATCTCACGTAAGCTGCCTTCAAAACTACGAGCAAGTTTCTCTCGTGTCTCCGGTGAGTGGACCAGATCATCCCATGCACCTGAATAAAATGAGCAAAAACGGGAAAAGCCAGTTTGGAAGTTGTCGGTGATAAAAGGTTGAAAAGAATCAGCGTTTATGCTCGATACACTGGACTGCGACCCAGAACCAAAAGAACAGAACTAAATGAGCGAAAACGAAGTTAACAATCGTTGCTAAACAGGAAGAGTGGAGAACATTAAGCCTTGGGGACCTTTCTCATGACAAACTGTTCACCTTGAAAGTCATTGTGCCGAATCAGGGAGAAAAACTGACGAGCGAAACTCTTAACTCTAGTTGATTATAGAAGAATCGTAAAGCAGTTTTAACTGTGAATTTATAACATTGGTGCCGAGTGTTTATCTTGACCAGATTTCGACCTGGTTTTCACCAGGCTTCCGCATCATCCATAATCTGTACGATGAGTACGATCGGGATCACCGGATGTGCAAGTGTCAGGGATATATTAACTGCTTTTTTTCCTGTAGTGTAAAGGCGAGTAAACGAGAGGGAGAAAGTGACTACATGACAATGAAAGCGATAAAACTTTTATGACGAACCGAAAGATTATTATTGAATCCCTTGTTATGGCAGTAGATGAATAGCGCACGTAGGACCAGTTCAAAACATGGGTGTGAATAAAAAAAATCAACAACCATAATACACCACCATATAGCAATCAAGATAACTGTTAAAGTGAGACATGGATGTGGATATCAAGACATGTAAACGAAGGAAAATCTTTTGGCGGTGGGCTGCGTTTCAGATAGATTTGTTAGCAGACACAAGTAAATTCTCATTCTTTAGTGCTAACTATAAACTGTGGAATGTTGTGCCCTATTTAAACAACCATATGATGCGTGAAAACCGTTGACTAATATGCAAGCGAGGACGAGAGAGAGTGGTTGAAAAATAAGCCATGCCTTGCCTTTTTATGACTACACATTATTACAAAGTGTTAGAGCAAGTCACGGAAAGACGACACCTTATATCGTGGACTGATTGGCAGTTGTTTGGTACAGACGACCGAACACAAGTTGACACTGTAACAACGAAATGTGTATTGACTGATTGTGTGAAACCCGAAACGCAGCATTTCGGGTCGCCCGACAAGGGGTCAATTCGAGCTATGGACTGCAAATGGTGTAGTAAACGAAGTGATTCCCGGAACGAGTGTATAGTGCAATGAAGAGGAGTCTGTGTCATGGATCCGAATATGCTGGATTCATATAAACGACACCGGATTTCACATGAAGAAAACAAATAACTATTCTCATAGATTACTGCATTGAGGGTTTACGCACGAGGTCATCTACATTTCGCACTAGCAGCCATCGTAGTGTGAGTAAACAATGGACACGCTATGATGACAGAATGGACTTGCTTTCACAATACGACTGATATGCGCGTACACATCAGTAACTGTGGTTTATAATGATAAGCATAACAACGACAGCTGTGTTGCGATCTGAGTCGTACGAGTTCGACTGTTACGAGGATGGCGGTTTACGTACAGTCTTGCCACCGTTAGTTCTTCTGTACCGAACCTGTGACGTTTGAAGTGAGCCCGAAAATACTGAACACGTTGAATATCTTATAGAGGAAGGTACACATGGAACACTGTGTCAACAAGGAATCACAACGCGCTGACACAGGAATGTAAGTTTACCTGTAGAAGTGGCTTGGAAATATTCCATCTAAATTTGTTTCCNAAAGAGGAACAACTATATGCCGAATTCGACAACTTAAAACATGGAGTTTAGAAGTTCAGTTGATCATTCAATGATGTAAATTGCACTGGACCATGAAAGTGTATAGTTCAAACAAAGAAAAAGTGTATTCCGTAAGTAATGCCGTAAACGGGTTGTTTCTAAATGGTCCCGAATTCTAAACTGGGTGTAAACTTCTTGTGTTAAAGAGACACAAACCCCTCGAACTTAACTAAGAAAGCACTCACGATTCGACTAGAAGAAGAGTTTAGGGGCCAAAGTTAGAATGCAAGTCACCAGTCATCCAAAGAAAACGAATGAAAACTCACGATTTAAGTCTTTTTCGATAGCTTTCTTGATCACACCGGCCAGTGTTTGGAGCGTATTGTTCAGCTGTGTAAAAGCAGGAAAAAGAAACGTCCTCAGTTATCACGAATTATTCCTTATCAATGCCTCACAAAGCCCCGGCAAACGACCTTTTGAATAGCGTTCAATTAAAATGGAAACTTAACGACTAGTTGTATTGTTTGCCGTTAATTACACTACTAACAATACCCAGCAACAGTATGTTTTGGTAGTCCTTCAGCATACCAGTACGACGTTCGGTTCTAAAATGCATTTTAGAAAAGGAACATTCCGATTCTTAAACGATAGTGTTACATATTACAGGTGCAAAGACCCAAATACACTGCCAGATTTATGTTGTCTGACGTGATTCACAGGAAACTTCTGCACTGGAATCACAAATCCTTGATATTCAGTATTGTTGTCCACTGTTGTCTCAAAAAGGAACTGTTGCGGTCTGCAGGAGAGAGAGAATGTCTCCTCGAGTCAATTTGTTCTGTGCATTAACATGACTATAGCTAGTGTATAATTAAAGCTGCGTCTACTACGAAATACCTTCATAATGAACTAAAAACTCTTTTAAACACTATTCCCATTCCAGATGTTGTGATTTTCAAGAGCCATTTAAAATGATAATAAAACACACACGGGATCTGGAGTCCCGATTGGTTGGAATGTGGCTCGCATAAGTGACTTAATGCACGCATACATCGCCACCGAAAACAGATGCAATGCTCATGTCAGTGACAGCATTAGATGCCGGGATAAATCCAAAATTAGTCACTATTCTCCAGCAGACCTGATAGCACACAAGCATATATGACAGTATGGCGAAGTATCCAATGCTGAATGCGAACCATGATATCTGAGCAACTACCGGTGAGTTACAATCACCAACACTCACACTTCGCACCCTCTATGCTCTGCTCCACTTAAACGCGATTACACCTCATCGATTAGATCAATATCAAATACCTTTGCGTACGCACAAAACCATGCAATGTAGCCGCTGTTCCTTAGTTTGACTGTTTGTATGCTTTGTAACTTATCCACGGCACAAACTCAACTCCATTTCGGCAATTGATTCGATTAATTCCTCCATAGTTGTTTGGCTGGACACATGATTAAAACGTGCGCATTCGGGTACGAGGAAGCGATTAATTGACTGGACATCAGAGAATGATCAACTTATCTTCTACGACCGGTAGAGGAAATTCCCCTAACGCACGACTCTTATGCATCCTTGAGATGTAATAGATCTATGAAAAAGCTCGAAGGAAATATCAATTAAATAAATCGATGAGCTAGTATGTCATCAAAAATAACGAGGATCCAATGAGAGTAACGTACGTCAGTCAACGATTGAAAATCATTACGATGACGCTCCAATTGTTCGATCAGTGTGGACAAATCGACCGTCTGAAACTAAGGTGACAATAAACAGAAAAACGACGATAAAAATTCTGGAAATGATATCTCCCAAAGATTACATGAAATGAGGTAAGACAGATATTATCGTCGTAAAAAGATGTTACAAATAGTACTGAAAATCAGGAGCATGAACCCCTTTGAACCATGCACAGAAATGAATAAGAGAAAAGTACATGTCAAAATCGGGCAGAGAGACGTTCATAAGCTTGCAGTAGACATAAAAGGCAGAAAGTTAAGCAACGCGGTAGGCATTTTGTTGCAAATGAGATAGACAAACCTGTTCTGTTGGAATGTACATGAAGGACTAACGATGAAACTATTTAGCGTATTGGCACAACTATAAACAGCGCATCTGCGTAATCCGCGATCCAAAACATTGAAACATAAAAATATGTAGTAGCACGAGTCACCGTTGAATCCCACTGTATTGTACAATGCAACTACGAGATTAGTAAAGTGAAAAATAGCTGCCACGGCGAGTAGGACTTGAATAACCCAAGACACGCCATAAAACTCAAAAATAAACGAGGACCGACGAATACTTTATTACAATCGTTGCCAAGGGACTTTTATTCTGCATAAAGTTACACGCTTCACCGACGTCGTCTGATTCATACGCAACGTGTCATTATGATGCTCAAGAGCGCATTATTAGAGCACGTATTTTCTCTATCCGACAATGGTTAAATTCTGACCGGTGCCTTTTGGTATGTATACGCAATGATCACAACCGAATTGCTCCATTGCTCTCAGAAATGTCGCTTAGTTCAGTAAAACTTAGCTGCACGGACCCGTTCGGAACAACCTTGCTTGCCCCCATTTTGATATACACAAAAGCCACTCAAATCCCAAACAACAATAATAAAATTTCTTGGAACCACAAATCATAAAAAAGCAAAAAGGTGGTCATATTCATGCGCAACAACAGCGGAATGAAGCCCAACGATACTAAGTAGAAACGATATATTGCATCTTACGTTTCACCTAAGATGAATCTCAAAAGGTAGAAACAGAAGAACTAATTTGGACATGCGATGAAGTTTCCGACAGTTCGTTCGTTTGTACGTAACCCAGATGAGTATCTAAATTCCGTAATAATGCCTGATCAGTTTGACACTCATTATGCATCACGAGTGACGGTGGGCAAAAACCAGCTCCCCACATTGGTATGTAAGCATCGAACGAAAAATCGACAACCAAAAAATTGCCCATCGAAATTGACGATACCACGTGAAGCACGAGTATTTAGTGAGGAAACATATGGTCGAGGATAGTGATAGTCTGGAAAAATGTCGTTATCGAGTGCATCCCATGATTAGACAAATCAAGGAAATTAGTATGGGACACGAAATCATAGACAGATACGGCAGGTGAGGCGAACTATGAATCACATAGATGAACAGGTCATAAGATCGACAAGATTACAAACTTCTTGCCCAATAGCGGAAGTAGACGATAGGGTGATCAACCTTATCGAAAATTTGACTGCATGCGGAAAACCGATTGAAGATAAGAATGTTCAACTTTAAAGATTATATGTACAGTGAGAGAAAGCGAGGCTCTATTGGTCAAAAACACTAGCTTTAGGATAGGAAGAGGGCGAACGACTGGATATCCTGGAGAATACTACTTTACGATGAAGCTTATTTACAAGGGTGAATACCGGACATTATACAAACACAGGGCATAAAAATGATCTAGGAGGGGGCTCGTTATTCGATGTGCCTTTGGCGTTGAAGTGAGGAAAAAAATTTCTACTGACCACTAAGTGACAGATGAGATTAATTGCATCAAACGAAGTAGAAGCAATTTAAATTCCAATAATGAAATAAAAACGGGCTACGAAAGAAGCAGTATTTATAAGGAATCAATAGCAAAAAACGGAGTTTCACAAAGCCAAATCAATACACGAACACTAAAAATTCCACAACTGTCCATTACAAATGAACAAAACGCAGATTTGTTGGAAAAGAGAACTAGGAACAACAGTGATCTGTCACCATTTCAAATAGCACTTGCGATGTAGCGCCATGCAGCAAACTGAAGCACTATAGACAGTAGTTTAGGGATGTATACAACAGCGTTGTATTGCATTTTCCGATTACGTAAGCTTTGACCACAACGATGTCCGAAAGGAAACAGATTTCTGATAGCAAGCACGCTGATTCATACCGATTGTCGATTAGTGTACTCTAAAAGCCATTCTAAGATCATAGTTGTGAGTCCATTAGTTTCAAATGAGAAATACGAAACCAATGCTAACTACCAACGACAATACTTCTACTTTGGGACAGAAACAAATGAGGGCGGGAAAAACTATAACCGGATGAAGGTTCACTATTATTACACAGCTGAAAAAAGAGCATTATTCTATGGGAGAAAACGGATGAATCTTCTGTGATCAGCGTGCAAGACCATCTGATCGGGTCCGAGAAAAGCATATTGATCCGCTTGTGATAAACGCCGTGGTAGTAGCTTACTCAGCGTAATTTCAAGCCTTCTTTCTGAGATCATATACCACGGACTATCGAACACACTTTACCCGTGCGAATGTGAAAATTTGGCTGTTTTTCAGTCTGCTTCGGGATGTATTAACGATTCTTCACCCAAATTCTGAAAAAATGAACGCATTACTTTTGTATACCTACGACATTCCAGTGAGCCGGGATATTGAATTTATTCTGTATGTTCAATGCATAAGATCAGCTGAATTCGAATCCAGCCTAGACGTTTTCAGCTGAGAAAACCGAGGGAAACGGTGTTCACCAGCATGACAGAATTTCATAGTTTTCTTCCACCTTCGTATTTATAGGACATTAGAAACGACTGGGAGACAACTGTCATCCATGAGCTACCAAATGGATGGTTTGCCGATTTCGATTATGCAGACGGTATTGCCAAGTGATGATCCCGGCTAACAGTAAGCTTTTCTAGATGGTTAGGCCTTTCATTTACCTATCGTATCGTATCACGAATGGACGATATTGAGGGCGTATTGAAAAACGATGCATTATGTACAATGGTATAAAGCGATCAGTATTTTTCAATAACACAGCTTCGTCGAAAGAAATGATAAAAAGTCTGTGAAAAACTGCCTCCAGAAAGTTTATCCGTGATAACCGAAAGGGCTTGTTATCACCCCTACCGACAACACTGTATTCTTGAACAATACATATTCCCATATAATTGTACAAATTGAAGACGGTATGATTTGACTTTTCAAAGTATAAAATGCTATTACATAATCGGGTTAGTTCAGTTTCTCATCTCACACTACTCAGAGGCCAAAGTAGAAGTTTGACACTTATCAACTACAGCGTTCCTGTCAGGTAAATCTCTGATTTCTAGCTCGGGTGGCGTTTGCGTACAACTGCCGCATTCGCGAAGGCTCAAGTTCGATACTCTGATCCGTGCGACCACTTGGTGCAGAGATACGACGTTTACGGATGAAAGCCTAACACTGACTAATGCGATATGAAAACCAATGGGTTGTACGTGTACAAACGAAGGCTGCTGGGCTTAGATGAACAGTATTGGATAATGGTAGTCACACACTAAATCACATGCTCCAACTTAACAGGTTACAACGGCTAACATGTGTTAAGCATTTCACCGGACAACCGTTTTCCGTGCGATGCGTGTCGAGAAAAGTAACAGGCGGTAGAAGTTAAGGGTGGCGAGAGAATGATCTGATATGGAGGCATGAAAACATTACACACTGAAGAGCCTATCGACTGCGGGACTTGATACCAAATAAATCAATGGCGAAAGGCACTGTGTACCCGGAAGTATTTTTGTTCTCTCGTTCCTTATGCAATCAATCACACACAACGCGAATTAAGCAAAAATATTCTATATTCCTACTTATTATTTTTTATTACAGATTTTCGTGTGATGAACAGCAGACGGGGAAAGTCCCATAGTGACGAGAACCTACTGTTCAGTGATGGAGACCGGTAACCTAAGCCCCAGAACTTGGAATGGCGAACCACATAAGCCCCCGATAGGTTAGGTGTGGTATTCAACCAAAGTCAAAGTTTCATTATGGGAAATACTTACAAGTGGTTGCTTTTCTAGTCCCATAGGATTTG